TCCTGCTTAGTTCCATTTTAGGAGGGATAGTTATCCGATGAGAAATCTTATACTAGTGATAATCACAAGTTGGTCTTTATCAAATCAGCATTCCTTGATTTCATGTGTGACCTTGTTGAATTTCACAAGCATACTGAGTATTTCTTATGACAATATGAAAGTATTCTCCAGGACTATTTAAAAATGCAAGTAACAAAAATTTCAGTTCATTTAAAAACATTATAATTAACTTATTTTCTGAAGACCCGACATTCATTGGGCATGTCAAGAAGAAGAAATGATCACTATACTTATATTATACATAACTGATGCCAAAAATATGTATAAAGCATAAATCATTGTATCAGTTGAATGTTTCCGAAACAGCAATATCACTGCCTGACTTTTGTCACTACTTATCTGTTATTTTAGAGGCAAAAATGTAAGAAAAACACATTCAAACAAAATATTTGCCCAAAAGTCTATTTCCTTCACGACTTCTGTTCTCCCCTACATAAAATGCCATCACCAAATTAAAAAATAAGCAAACAAATAAAGCATTGTGTTTACTTCTAAATTATACAAAAATAAATCAAATTATAGCCATGGGTACATTAATTAATATGCAGTTTTCTCATTAAAGCACCACCTACAGCATCACAAAGGGACAGCATGGACTTCAGCAGGTAGCTTTCATTATAGCCCTCTGTACCACTATAAAAGCAGGGTACAGGAAAATTTACTATATGGCCTGTCATTGTTGAACTAGTACTATATATAAAAAGTGTGGCTAGATATATAATTAAAATACTAATTAAAATTTCTGTGTAAACAGAAGAAAACTAAAAACACTATAAAAATAGATTTTTCTACTATGTAATTAAGTGAAATCTAAGCTCATCAATTTAAAGCCAAGTCCTAAGATGTCAACTGCCTTCAGTAGGTCTAGGTTCAGGCTGAAACTTTATTTCCTGTTATGTATCACTGCGGTTTTTCATTTTACATCTGTAGTAGTAACTTAACTTGCATTTGTACCAAAATGAATTTCATGCTCAACTTGTTTTTCTTAATTAAACTTCCTTTAACAGTTCCTAATATGTGTATTATTAAAACTCATTAGTCCCATTCACGCTTGCTTGTCATTTTTTTGGCTACATATTCGTATATTGAAAAGCTTTGTTACTATACATAGGAAAAAAATTAAATAATAAATATGAGGACCTGAAAGTTTTATGAGTGTCAGGATGAGAGAGTGCCTGCAAGGCCCATAAGGTTTCACACAAAAGAAGCACTACTGCTAAAGCTAACATGCTGACACATCTCTGATCTATAAAGTCTGCAGTAATGGCAGCAGTAAAGCACTCCGCCATTGACTAGAATTTCTCTTACATGCAACGGAAATAGGCACAAAAGAGATTATATTGACTGTTATAAAAAAGAATTCATATAAAATTCCCCCAAAAGTTTAATGTCTAATAATTTCAAATGCCTAGGAGTGATTTACTAGTTTTCTCTGAATTCAGTTAAACTTAGAGTTGGCAGTCATTCTCTTTCACAGGAAATTGCTACCAAATGGGTATGTGGGGTTTTTCTGTTTGTTTGTTGGGGGGCATTTGAAAGCAAAGATAATTTACAGCCTTTTATAGCAACATAGCAATATTTGACATGGTCAAAATGACTTCATTAATAGCAGAACAGAAATACCCAAACTTCTTACTATCAAGAAATCATTCTCCTTAGAAACAGGGATGTGGTTATTCTACTACATTAAAAGCTTAGACACATCAAGATATTTTAAATTATCTTTTGAAAGAAATGAAAAGGATAAAGTTGATTCATCATGAACATTCACTACTTTAATTCTTCCTGTTCTGGGTTTTGAAAGTTTAAAAATTGAAAATTTAAATTAATTTCATATGTATGGTTTGATTGTTTGTTTTTGCATTTCTCAGTAAAGCAAAGGAGGTGGAGGATTTGTTCTTTAGTATACTACATATTAAATTTCAACAAACTGTTAAAGATTTACTTCTTTCAATTAAGAGCATGCAATAATTTCATTTAAAAAAAATCAGTTAATGTGAAATAAGATTTAATGCAGTAAATCATTTAAAAATCTTGGAAGGTGCAGCAAATATGTTAGCTTGACCTGAATGTTAGGTCAATAAAAACACATAAAAGGCTTCCAAGGAACAGGTGCAGATGTCAAGCAAAGCTCCAGGGAGGCAAGAAGAGTTTTTCCATAGTTATAAGCTTTGGGAAACCCAGTGTGCTATGGCCTGTCACTTATGTTACAAACTGAGTTTGCAATTCTCAGAATTCATTGAGGGTTTTTACCCCTTTACCCAAAATTACCACATTTATGTTACCCTGATGTAAAATTAAAACAGCTGATCAAAGCTACACTTTTAAAATCATCATGATCAAAACCATATATATGAATAAGATAGTCCAAAATGTAATTAATTTTCCAAGTGGCCTGTTCAGGTTTTAAACAGTTCTTAAAGTGGCTCACTCCATTAGAGAGAACATTTATCTAACTGGATACCTTGCTCTTCATTTACTGGCAATAGCTGTTAAAATGTGTTTGTGTGTGTTTATTTTCATTGTTATTAGCCTTCAAAAGTGTCTTTGCAGCCTACAAGGTTTAGCCACAATTTTTTTAAGAACTGCTATAGAAATGAAGAGGATATCAAACAGATGATACCAAAGAGTAGGTCAAAGTTTCTCCTTTACATTTCCCTTCCTAAAAAAGAATGGGATGAGAGAGAAGAAAATATCAATTATTCTTCACAAAAATATTTTCAGTCATACAAATACACACTGAGTTAAGTCTTTCGCTTTAGCACTATGGCACATGAAATAACCGCTGGCTTAATGTTTTCACAATATGAAAGTAAACTGACCTCCTTTTCATGTTTCAAGTCCATTATTACTTTCGTATCAATAGTTATATTCTCTATTAACCTCAAAAGAGAAATGCCAGTTCACCTACCACTCACCTTCCTTACTTGTTTTTAATCATCATTTAATATGTTGTTAGCTGCCTCTGCACTAATTTAATATTTGAAAGGAGATACTAATTATTGCGCTGTGTAGCCAGGATCACTGGTTAGCATGTACCAATACACAGAACGTCCATTCTTCTAGTTCCAATGTGCACACACCCACGTGACTTAGAGCAGTACAAAAAAAGAGGCAAAGCTTCCAGACATCTTCTTGAAACTAGCAGTTGGGCTTGCAGAAACTATTTCTTGCCATTTCTACAATCTTTAGAAAGTCATATATAGTCTGCAGAGGAAAAAAATAGGCAACTTTTCCATTTCAGAATTCCTGGGAGACAACAGTTTTATATTTTGCTATTTAATCTCAAAAAGATAAATTTCACGTGCTTGCTTTCAAATTAGATTTGAAGATACACATACACATACCCATCCAGAAAAAGAGTTTGGTAAGAGTCATCTTGAAATAACGAGAACATCGCATGTACCTGGAATTCCTAAAATAAGTACGAGAGTATAAATGTGCTTCAGATGACATTGAAGAGTTGCCTTTCGCTGAGTTCACACGTCATGGAGAGACTTTAATGCTAAAGCCATGAAGGTACATGCATATCTATAAAATTTGTAAACAGAAACCTCTGGAAAAAATATCTAATCCTTTCCTTCAAAAGATTACAAAATGCCGCATTTCATATTTTAACACAACTATTTGCATTGTCTTTCAGTGCATTTGAATGTCTGACAGTTTAAAATTTAACGAATTGACCTTAAATTTTTAAAAATCCGACTAAATAATGATCTGAAGTGTCAAAAGCTATAAAAGGGGGATTTCGTTCATCTATTTAACTCATCAGTCCATGCTTATCCATGCTTTTATATGAGTCAGTTCTTTATATGTAGTTGCTTTGAAGCTGTGTAGACTCCGAAATTGGTTAAGGATAATATGTTTTGCCAGATTCTGAAGCAACTTTACTTTCTCAAGTCAATTAATATTCACTTATTTGATTAATTTTAATCTTATATCTGGGGGAATTGATGTCCTTCTACAAATAAAGACGAGGTGTTCTGGCCAGCAACAAAATTTTTAAAGGAAAAAAATTCCTTACATTTAGACGCAAGAAATTACAGTATCTAGAAAGGCGCGCACACCGCTCGGTCAGAAAGAAAAGCCAGTGGCTGGCGAGGCAGCCAGGGCAGGATGCATCAGAATTGCAGTCGCTGCCTGGCGAGCCCGCCAGCCTGGGCCCTCGGAAAAAAGGCTGCAGAGATGTCTGGGGCCCCTCCAACTCAAGAAAGTTACCTCCAACTGTATTATGGAAAGTCATACAAGTGAATAACAAGACAACGTGTGGCCAGCCACCCGCTTCTCTGTCTCTGTCCGATGCAGTGATCCTGTAACCCCTTAGTGTCGGGCTAAGGGGGGGGGGTGGAAAAAGGGGGAAGAGAGAGGGAGGGAGAAGGAGACGCGGTGCACATTGCCAATCCCCACCCCCAGCCCCCGCCCCTGCAAAATTCCCTCTAGAAGCTCAGATCGCCGCCTTAACCGCGGAGGAAGCAACAGCGATTTCTACTTGGGCTCTTCCCTCTGCACATGCAGGTTTTCCAAGCACCGCTGCCTCCTCTCCTTAAAGTATCACTAAGGAAAGCACTGGATCCGGGAGGGATCTCCCAACTGAGAGATTTCCAATGCAAACTTGAGAGACTGTAGGGCTGCTTAGCTCTCCCTCTGACGCCGCGGAACAAGGTTTTTGAGCTCGATCTAGGTAGCTCCCCAGCGATCCCCCGAGATGTGCGAGGTGGTTTTACATCTCGCCTTCTCTCCCCATTTCCCAGGCGCCGAGTCCGCATCACCTTCCAGGCAGTGGCACACAAACCCAGGCAGCCCCCTCCCAGGAAAAGAGCCACAAACTTACCCTCAGCACAGTAAATCCACGGAGGGAGCCCCCTCATCTTCCCCTATTCCCCTTCCAATAATTCAAGGAGACAGTTTGCACAAGACTTCGCCGTCAAATTCAAGCTGAAATGGTCAAAGTATTTACCAGTTTCTAGATGCTTTTTTATTTTAAATCTCCAGCACCCAGCAATTCTTGTTTCAGTATTCAAGATGCTTCCTTTTTTCTTTAAGCAGCCGCAACCCCAGTTTTGCACACCCCCCTCTTTTATTCACCCACAGACACTTCCAAAACGTCTCGATTGATCCTTTTTTCTTTCCAGATGCTACCACGATCCACAGTCCTGGGGACCCAAAGCCACCTCCGTGTAAAACCGACCATCAGGCAAGAAATACAAATGATCAAACAAGGTTACTTCTTTCAGCTGCAATCAGATAATCCTACTAATCCAATAGATTTATCTCGATTGGAAATTGACCTCAAAAATGAATTCCCACCGCCGATGTCCAGTAGAACGATTTCGTAGCCCTGTTCGAGTCACTGAAAGAACTGTGGCTTCTTTCTTTCTTAAAACAAAAATCTTTTTGGATTCTGGGTGCACAGCTCGCAAAAAATGCCGAGGACCCTGGTTTTCCCCTAACATAGGTTTCTACTCTAAATCGGTGCAGAATGAAAAATGGTACAAAGATACCCCTAGTGGCTCCAGGCGTTATTGCAGGGATCTCACTCTTTTTTTAAATTTTTATTATTATTATTTTCCCATCCACTTGCCTCCCTTTTTTTTTTTTCCTTTTCCCCACCCCCGTAGATAACAAGTAGCTGCTGGTGTAGTTAAACAAGAAGGCTGAACCAATATTAGTAGGAATGTTATATGAATACCTGAATCAATAGTCTGGATTTTGTTCGGAAACTTCAGTGTTTCTATCTCCTCAGTGTTTAAAGTTTCCCCCAATGGCATTTAAAAACTAAAATGTCCATTTGGGGCAGCACAGTGATTTCAAAGCAAACGTATTTGTTTCCTAAGTCACTACTGTTATCAGATAAAACGCCTCAGTCTTCTTGAGATATTTTACTTTTAGAAATACCCTTAACATTCTGTTTCATATGAGCATGGATGTGCATCTTTGAGATATTTTTTTCTCATTTTAGACTTTTCGTGTTCATTTACAAAAGTAGGCAATGGTTTCTGCGAGCTTGTGGTTGAAAGGCAAGATCTGAGAGCATGATATAGGCCTTGGCTTGCTTACCTGAATCCTTTGGAATTCAATGACCTCAAGATTGTGACTAGGATTTTTGACAGGTTTCAAAGAAAAAGAACTCATGGAAATGAATTTCAGAACATTGTTTTCCTAAGCAGCAATAACAAATTCTCACAAACAGTAATAACCAACAACCCAGCACCTTTTGTAAAACGGAGATTCTGAATGTGTAGAGCCAGGAATGGGCTGAGATTCTATACTTCTAATAAACCCTTTGAGAGTGCTTTATCAAAGGGCTAATAACATAGAAAAGTTAGATTTACTTTCATGCTGATGGGGTTCTGCAACTGTAAAAGTTGGAAAATCCTTCTTAACTGACTAAATCATTCAGCCTTTTTAGTGTGTGAGTTGTTAAAGAGCCTAGAGACTTTCTTTCTAGAATTGATTTTAATATTAATTGGTGGTGTAACTTTGAGCAGTCACTTTTTTGCTTATGGTTAATTTACTTATTAAAATTCAGAATAAAAATAATACATGTTCTTGGATGGAAGACTCAGTATTATAAATTAATATATAATACTAATGTGATTATTATTAAAATTCTATTACATTTTCCATGGAACTTTAAAAGTTAATTCTAAAATATGCTTGCAAAAGCAAAGAGTAAAACGTTGACAATACAATATGAAACAGGATTTGGGCAATTTCCACACAAACTATTAAGGCTTAATGCAATGACAGTAGTTAAGACAGTGTAACTTTGGTTCAGAGACAGAAATTAACTCAAAGAAACATAATAGGGTATGATGAATGTGCTTGTCTGTGTGTGTCTAACTCCGTGCACTTATGGAATTTTGATAAGTAACAGGTGGCATTAGAGATCAGAGAAGAACAGATGCATTATTCAGACAATAGATTAAGCATATGAAAAATGATAATTCTAGATTTTAATTTTATTTCACGTTTGAGAGTATATTTACGGTAGGCCAAAGGCCTAAAGATACAAAGAAAATCTTTAAAATTTTTCAAGGAAAAGAGATTTATGATTTTTCAGTAGACGGGAAGAGAATAGTTTATTAATCTATGTCCATAAAGGAAAAAATGCTAAATTTGTTATATTAAAATAAAAATAATGTACATTAAAAAATCAAGCCATAACTAAGACATTTTCAGTACAAGAATTAGTGCCCAAAGTATGTAAAGGTTTCTAATAAATCTATTTTAAAATTTATGATGAAGAAAAATAGGCTAAGGAGTTTAAGAGACGATTGACAGAGAGGATTCTCAAGGTCCAATAACCGTTTGAAAAAACTACTCACTCTCTCTAGTTATTAGAAAAATATATGATAAAATGATGCGATATTTCACTTATGAAGTTTATAAATCTAGTATCACCAAATATAGATGAGGATGTGAAGAAATCATGTAAAATGAAACAGCTAAACATACAAATGCTGCAGAAAGCACTTTAGCAGAAGCTGAAAATTATCATATTCTGAAATCCAGTTTTTTACTCCTAGAAATATCCATGACACAATTACTTGAAAGTGCAAAAAAAATGGAAATAATCTAAGTGCCTTTGGATAAATAACTAGACAAGGAAATTATAGAATATTCACATACTGAAATATTAGAAACAGTAAAGACAAAAATAAAAGTGTCATAGCTTCTTGAGTTAGATAAATCTCAAAAACATGATGTTGGCCAAAAAAGAGTGTTGCAGCAAGAAGCCTGGGGAATGACATTATGTACATATAAAGTTTAAAAACTTATAATTATATCTATTAATTCTGATTACAAACATATATAGAAAAATATATCAATATTCATGGTAACTATAAACCATCAAACTCAGGGTGGAGCTTATCATTTGGGAAGGAGTGGATAAATGGGGCTGGGAAGTCATTAAGGGTAGGTTCACCTGAATCTTCAGGGCTTTATTTCTCAAACTGAACTTTGAACACATGTTTATAGTGTGATTTAGAAATTATTTTTATGCATGATATATTTCACTAAAATGGAAGAATTAGACAAGATAATTTCAGTGAACCCTTACTGCAATATAAAATTTTCTAAGTGGAATAAGCAAATGTAGATGTAAAAAAAATAGTATGGGAATTCAGTTTCATAACATGCTTTTTATAGAGATGTTTTTAATGACACATTTCTAAGAAGTAGAAATGGATTGGTGCTTATTTATTTCTATAATGAGTATTAGAATTTCTATCTAGCAAGTGAGCAAAATTCACCACCTAAATGAAAAAAATATGGTTGAAATAGAAAAACATATAACCAATAACTAGCTCTTTCTTGTATTTTCCTTTCATCTTGCATATAGTAATAGGGCCTCTGAAACTGTAAAACAATCAATTGATCATGTTCAGTCTGACCGATTAACTAGAAAGCACACAGCCAGAGTAGCTCTAAGCCAAACTACAGTACAAAGAAAATTCTTCTAGAATATGTAAAATATGTATGTGAATTCAAGTAGGGAGACTTTGTTGATATGAAATATGAGAAATGGAAATCTCATCTCAAAGTCACTAGATACTATTTTTCATAATCCATGAAAAGTAAGAGAACATATCAAATATTAGGGAAGATTTTTTTATAACTCAATATTTGAAGTACAATGAGCAGGTAATATTATCAATTCACACAGGAATTGGGAAAGATGCCTGAATTAATTGTGAAGCAGACATCTTTCAACCCTTCAGAAGAAAGTTCCTGGGAAATAACCAAGGCAGTTTTGTGCTAAGAAGCTGTGAGGTGACAATTTGATTTCCTTTGATGATAGAACAGACAAGAGGGATGAAGTAGATGTAAGTTTCTAAAATTTGAAGAATTTGACATATTGGTTAAACAATTACTTACTGAATATTTCCCGCATACTGGGTTTAAGCCATATTATATCATAGGAGAACTCACTTTGAACAAGCAACCATTACAAATCTTGTTTCCATCGATGATTGACTTATTGATTGTCAATGGTTAGTAGATAGTACTTTTTTTGTTTGCTTTTGTTTTTCATTTTTCTGGTACTGAGAATCAAACTCAGGACCTTGCTCTTGCCAGGCAGGCGCAGAGCCACTGAGCTACATCCCCAGCCCTAATAGAAAGTATTTTGAATTAATATATCAGCATCCATACTAAACAGGTATCAGGTATTGATACAGAATTGAAAGTTCAGCTTCAGTGCATTTGTGTTCAAACTGGGTTTACAAGTTAAGGTACTCAATGAGAAAAGAAGAGCACAAAGAAGAGTTATAAGATGGGGGGGGAAGAGAAAAGAAAGCTGAGGATAAAGATGTGGGTCAAATTCTGGTGATTTATTTTACAGATAACATAGAACTTTACTCAGTCTTGATATCCTCATGATACAAATGATTAGCCAATGAATGACCTAATAAATCAAACAATGAAAATAACTGGTGTATCTCCATCCTGTATGTGCTAATTTCTTCAGAAAATAAAATAGAGGAGGAAGTAACAAATGAACTATGACTAATAGTGACAAATGAAAGACCAGGATTAGCAAACCTGACTGCTGAAGGGGATTCCATTTTGGACTACTTCAGTAAAATTTCTGCTCTCTTAAAACCACCTTATGATTATATATCCTATGCCAGTGTACCTTCTAAATAAAATTGATTAGTTGATTAATAAGAAAGAGACCTTGTGAAGAAATAAATAGCATAACTCTATTAACAAGTATATAAGTAAATAAGTGATTGTTGCCTTTAATACAAAGGGATTATTTTGAAAATAAATGTCTTGTGGGTTTGTTTTAATAAATGTACCAGATCAAATGAGTTTAGTTCTAGCTGATAGTAAATATTTTAATATGTTGTGAGAGATTAGTGTTCAATGTCTGAAAAAAAGCAATAACTTGCAAGCTATTGTAAAGCAGATTTCTAAAGCAAATCTGGAGGAAAAATATTCCTCTACCATCTTCAGCACTCCCCTGATGTGTACTCATATTAAGTGCTCAAGCTTTGAATCTAAATAAGTAGCAACTGGGAATTATAAAAGACATAAAAATTTAAAATGTTGCAACATTACAAGGCTAACTACTGCAAAGGTGGCTATTTACAAAGAGGTTCTTTCTAAGGGGATAGATCTGCTCACACAATCCTGCTTAATTAGAAAAGACTACTTAAAACACTTGACTGATACTGAGTATTTCAGGTATGTATTCGGAGAACACACCTGCTTGAATGCTAAATATACCAGATGCACCTTCATATTTCGTGGATTTGAAGAGTGGTAATGGAAACCAAGGAATCAATGATCAAGACTAGATATTTTAAAATGAGAATGACG